CATGTTGTGAGTGACTGGACACTAGTTTTTTGCGTACTTTAAAACGCTGTAAAAGCTTACGAATTTCTCCAAAATGGGAAAAAAATGCAAAAAAGTATTACTGAGATATTGAGGATTTCTTCCAAATAGGGGAAAAATTACACTTGAGGTGCACTTTAAGCAGCACACACCACAGGTGCTTGCCTAAGATTGTGACATGTATAACTTATTTATTTGATTGTCCTACGTTACACGAGAGAATCAGATGTGACTTACTTTTCCATTGCTGCTAACTGGCTCTTTGTTTGATGATAATGATACATCTCAGCATTATAATCTAACTTTTCATCACCCTAAATGCATAACAATAAGTAAGGATCAGATTATTAGAGTATAATGATACAATTGGTTGTGCCATATGAGCAATGGTTGGTTTCAATAGATGACAGCTGATGTTCATGAATTTTTGAATTTCTAGACTGAGCATCATTTCAAAATCATACTTTTTTCTTTCTTTTTCCCTAACTTCCTTCCTTGTTTCTTTTCTTTTCTTTGTTTTTGCTTTCCTCTTTCCTTCCTTCCCTTCCCTTTCCTTCCTTCTTCCTTTCCTTCTTTGGACTAATCTGTTCATATTAAAACAATTTACCTCCTCTACTTTATGGAGCCAGAAGTCAAGCCCATGTGGGCTGGAAATCTAATAGTTGATCATATCAACTGTGTTTATGAATATAACAGCTATTTGAAAAACGATTGAAGGGGAGAAAGGTGATAGGTAATAAGTGATAAGTCATTCCAAGATCCAAGAACACCTGGAATGACTCATGTTTCTTATTATTATTCTCGTCAACAACACTATATGGAGCACTATATTGAATAACACTGTATATAAGTATGAATAAGTATAATCTTTGAATAACACTATTGTTGAGATACTAACGATTTGGTATCTTTTAGGGTGTTAAATGCGAATTTTTGAAAATCAGCATTTTCTGGTATCTCTTAGGGTGTCAGAAAACGAGAGAAGGGCGCATCGATATGGCTTATCCTAGGTGCTTTTTATATTATTTGTTGTGGTATCTCTTAAGGGTAAAAAAATCATTCAGCCACACCCTTTTTTAAAGACTTCCGGTATCTTTTAGGGGTCTTTTTGGAAAATTTCCGACAAGCATCCCCGGTACTTTTTTCCCAGAGTCCCCTCCCCCGGGAATACTAAGTTAGTGTCGTGTTTGCATTCAACAAAACCATTTAAACACCTCAATTCTTTACACTTAGATGTATGCCCACAGTTCCTTCTGGTCAAACAATCACCAATCACCAATCACCATTTGCTCCTTCAACCTCTTAAAATAGCTGACTAAAAGTAAATGAAAGTTTAGCTTACATGTGCTGATGAAGGGCGCTTGGATTTCATCCCATAGCTTGAATATTCTGATTCACTGACAGCCTTGGCTGTAGTATGAAGTCTAAATACAAAATTATTATCGTTATTAATAGTCACAATAATCATATACTCCTAACTCAATTCTTATGGCCCAGATCAAAACACTAAGGTCATTATGACATTAGTGGTTCCCATCTGATAATGTGCAAAGGATACTGCTTATGACTAGCCATGTGAAAAGTTATCCAGACAAAGCGTTCGCACAGTTCCAGTAAATCTTTTATCCATGTTAGACAAACATTAGACCATGATTTTGCAGGTCCAAAATTTGCATGGCTAGGCATATGAATCTTTGTCTGGATAGCATATTTCTGCATAAATGGACACCTAAACATACAACTTCTTGAACAGTTAAGAAATCGTCTAGCACCACGTGAATGCAGCCTTAAAAAACTTCAAAGATGTAAAATCTTTGTTTTAATTCAAATTTTTTTAAATTTTCCCACGGAGTGAACAAGAAAATTTCATACCAAAAGGAATAGATATGTGAAGGGGATAGATATGTGTGGTGGTAAACATACAACTTCTTGAACAGTTAAGAAATCGTCCAGCACCATGTGAATGCAGCCTTAAAAAACTTCAAAGATGTAAAATGTTTGTTTTAATACAATTTGTTTTTAATTTTCCAACGGAGTGAACAAGAAAATTTCATACCAAAAGTAATAGATATATGAAGTGAATAGATATGTGAAGGGGATAAATATGTGTGGTGGTTTAAAAAATAATAATAATGAAGGTTTATTTAGAGTCCATCTACAGTATATCAAGAATTAAACAGAATAAGATCTATGTCGGAAGAAGAAACATATTAACGACTCTGGCATAATGAATTAATGTAAAGATACCAGATAATAAAGACAAAATTAGATTTAGTACTCAAACTTTCCGAAGAGATCACTGTCGCTTTATTCAGTGGCGATATGCTAGTAACATGACCTTTTTGGTCTTCATAAACGAGTCACTACTGAATTAAGCAAGAGTGAACTCTTCCAAAATATCTGGTACTAAATCTAATCTTGACTCCGTTTCCGGTATCTTTTATATTACGACCCATGTACTTACTTATACCAACAGTAACCAGCCAGCGCTAATCCTGCGATCCCAGCCACACTGCAGCCAATTACAATACCTAAGGAGAAATCATGTACCATTGAATCAGAGAATGATAACAACACGTCTGGGAAGGTCTTTGTAATACAACCTTCTACAGTATATTTAATGCTAGCATTGTTCAGGAAGTGTTCCATGCTGGGTTGCTATAACAACTGGTGCACTCCAAGAAATATGTGCCAAGTATATCATTGACGAAGAATAAATAGAATAAAGGTGATTTATATTGGGTTATATTAAAACTTGTCAGAGGATCAACAAGAAGATATTGTAAACATGTTGTGCAGTTTATCTTTTCTTTTGGAAACCGCATTTATAAACAACCTTTCTATAAATAAACAAGAGCAATATATCAAACTAAAGCCACTTTGACATCTTTTTTCTACATCATTTCAAGTATGTTTTTTTTCTTCCATATTATTCTGGTTAGTATACGATCTCAAGTACAATTCAGAGTGAAGTTTTGAAAGTTTCCAAAATTGGCAAGTCCAATTTGAGAACTTTCAAAACATCATGAGTATCTATAAATTCAGAATTGTACGAGAAGATTGTGTGATTTGTTGTTTATATTACACTCAACAAAATTGAGCAACTTAATTGGGACTCTACAGAATACAATTTGGGATTTAATTGTACTTCTCCTGACCAATCAGAATTGAGTAATTAAAATTAACATTAAAATCTAAATAGTTTTCAGCTACTGTACCATCAACAGCATGTGGAAGTCAATTTACTATTGAAGAAATTAAGCAACATACACTAGATTCTTCCAAGAGCTTAGTGCTCACCTCTTACCAAGGCAAGCCAGGTTTGACTCCTGGATTGGATGTCATATATCAGTATAGAGCCGTTTGTTAATTCTCTCCTGTGATTCAAGGATTTTCCTCTAGGATCACTGGTTTTCCTCCCTCTACAAAATACTACTCATAAATTCCAATTGGAAATCAGTAGATGAAGAGCTTTTCTATATAAATGCTACTGTTAAATCCCATTTATTTTTTTACTCTGTATTTTTAAAACCTAATAAATAAGAAAAATAAATTATAAATGGGTAAAGGAGCATACAAACAAACCTAAGTGGAAGACCGCTGCCACTATACCTAGCAGTGAGCTTATTAACCTACCAAGCTCTAATAAATTGGTCCAGTGCTAACAAGTCTTAATTTGATAAATGTTAGAAGAATTGTATAGTTCTTACACTCTCCTCTTTCTAGATATATATCACAACTATGTGCAAATAGGATGTTTTATATCAGTAAAGTTGAAGTGCTTCATAAGCCTGAAGTTTTAACAGAGATACGATGGTACAAAAAAAAAACATGACAAAGTAGCTCACACCTCTAAACATAATAATATAATAGTTTGAAGTTGTGCTTCAGCTGCATAATCATTGCACCAATTATAGCTGTGGATTCAAATAAGGTCTGCTGTTGTAGTGTTGTAATTATCGTAGGTTTTTACTAAGCTCTTACTTTCTACAACATCATGTAATAATGAATGTACTTAACAAATGAAAACACTTTTTTTTTCTTATTTAATTTACTTTCCTAATTCTGTCTCGTCAAGACTGATAAAGATAAGTTGATAAAAGAATCTACTTAGGAAAGGTTGTAAGAACTTAACAAGACCATTTTTCATAATAAATCTTCATATAACACCATTACTAGAATAGACTTTACAGCATCATATAATAACGAATGTACTTAACAAATGAAAACACTTGAGATTTTTTTTCTTCTATATTATTGAATTTACTTTTCTAATCCTGTCTTGTCAAGACTGATAAAGATAAGTTGATAAAAGAATCTACTTAGGAAAGGTTGTAAGAATTTAACCAGAGCACTCTTCATAACACATCTTCATAACACCATTACTAGAACTAAGAATAGATCCAATTGGTATGGGTATTGGTAATGTTTATCCATTGTCTGAACAACAGTTCCAAGTTTTTATACTGTTTATGATATGCATGAGTGAGATCTCAATCTTTCAACATTTGTATAGGAAATCGCACAATCTCGAGTACAATTTGGCTATTAATTCCAAATTGTACGAGAAGATCATGCGATTTTTTGTTTATAGTTCACTCAACAAAATTTCAGTAAAAAATACGAAGCGACGCCGTTAATCTTTGTCTATTTGGCGGCCGATTTTCAGTCCATCGCGCAACTGAAATGCATAAAAATGATTAGTTCTTATTAGTTTTTACAGCTTTTTTTTGCTGTTGACATTGTTTTGGCTGTGTTTCCATAGTGACTTAATTCGGTACTCCTACGGAGTACAATTAACACTATAATATCTATATCTCGACCAATCAGAGTCAAGTAATTTTGTTGAGTGTACTATAATTATATTAATAGGACTGGCCATCAAGACTGAATTCATTAGTACAATTATTTAGAAAATAACTTCAAATACTGATACTGTCTAGATACTTGGACACAATGTAAATTTTGCTTGTAGATAAGATTTTTTATCTTTACAAATCGTCCTCACATCGACAGAAAGGACCATCATTAAAGCTAAATTTACTCAATTAGAAATATCTATATATGTGTATGAGAATATATACGAAATATATATTTGTACTGCGGTTGTGATGTATCAAATTGAGCTGATCCTCACAGTATACCAAGCAACTTATGCAGCTGCAAATTGAAAGACTCAGAAAAAAGTCTGAGTCTTGAGAAATATCTATTAGAAACGTTGTCATATGCATGCTGTATGCAAGTTGGCTTTTTTCTAAACAAGTCTGCCATGCCAATCATTTTCAGAAACATTTCAATCTATATTCATTAACTCAAGGCTCAACGATGTTGGGAAAATTAAAATCACTCAATTGGAAAATCATGTTAAATGAATTCATTAGAGAGAGTTTGAACCTGGGATTCTGAATATATATTGTTATTGAAGCATGATATGCTCATGTAGAATAGGTTTCAAGGGTTTTCCTTGACAAGAGAAGACAAAGTTATCTACAGCCTTTATCTTTAGTTGATTTCAAACATTTTGGAACAAAGACTTATCATTATTTTATAATTCAAAACTCTTTAAAAACAACAACGGAATACACACCTTAAAAAAGTGTTATTTATATAAGATAAAAAATAATTTTCAAACTGCTGAAAAATCCTACAATACTTCTAATAGGGAAAAATATTTTAACGATATTTAGGATTAAAAATCAAATTCTGTATATAATATTCTTCTTAATCATTTCATGCTCTGTTTAGAAATATTCTAAAACACACCTTGATTTGAAACAGCATTGTTTATATAAAACACAAAGCAATTTGATTATAAATTAAAGACCTAAGACATTTCAAACAAGCACTTTCTTTTAAAATCTATTTATTTAGAGCTTTAAAAACAATGTTGATCATTCACTAATTTGTGAAGATGAAGAGACCAACAAAAAAATTTTTTTTTTGAATTTTAATCTCAAATTCATGGTTCACAAGACCAAATCATGATAATTTACGAATTAAACTAAAATAAGTACTTATCATGATTCATAACAAATTCCAACATAATAAGATTTTAATTCAAATTGAAAAATGTTTAAAAACTTGCAATATTTGATACATTACAACCGATGTACAAATATATATTTCAATAAAATGCACCTCACAAGGGATTATAAAGATACTACCATCCAATGGGTTTGTATATTATTTTATAAAACCAAAATAAGTATCTATTATGCTTAATAACAAAAGTCCAACATAATAAGATTTTAATTGCAATTGAAAATGTTTTCTTTCAAAGCAATAAGAAAAAAGTAATAATAATATATAAATAGAACTGTCTATGCATTTTCTCCCTCCACATTTTTAAAGTAATAATATACATAAAAAAAGTTCTTGATTCTGATTGGTTAAGAGCAGTGCCATTTTAAGGAAGCACAGTGCAGAAAAAAGGAAGTTCAGTGCAGAAAAAAGGAAATACAGTGCAAATTTTAAGTTTTCAAAAACAGTTTTAAAATCAAACTTTTCTTAACTCTGCTGTTGTTAACATTACTTAGCATCAAAGCCTTATAGTTTTCGGTGGTAAAGGAGCAATTATGATAGAGAAAATGCCACAAAAGTTGAGGATTTTGTTCTGTTTTTGAATTAATTTTTGGTTGAAGAGAGCTCGCTTCTGGCACCATCATAATGTCATCCAACACACACTCATATTTTTCTTGAGATTTTTGCTCGTTCTTTAGCAAAATACACTTTCCTTTTATCATGTATATTATTAAAAAGAGAATCATTAAAGGTTTCTCATGCAATTTAGAATAAATGTATTCCTAGAACTCAAAATGATTTCCCATACAAATGTACTTCAGAGTAATATTATGTCAGTACAAGTCATTCATGTATTTTGGATTTTTCTTGTGTGCTATGGCACAGTTTATTATCACCAACATCAAAACCCACTAATTCAGTAGTGGTCAGCGTGGGTAATACTCAGGGACTTTGTGGTTACAAGGACAAAAAGACTGGACACAGTTAATGTAGAATACAAGAACAAGACCATGGGTCAACAGTTAGAAACATCTGCCATGCAGTTTCAAAATGAAAAAGTTTTATCACATGTGCATCTCATGAAAAATGACGTATGTCTAATACAAACGTTCTAATATTCAGATTCTACAGACAAATTATGCCGATTATAGGCGACTAAAAATGAAGACTATGCAACACGTACACATTTGTCAAATTATAGACATCAAGGGAATATTTTATTTCAAAATCACAATCAAGAACGGTGTATGTAAATAATATGCCAAAACTTTGTAATTTTTGTAAATAAAACTGAAATGCTTTTCTATGATTGGATTATTTTCAATTGCAATAAATTTGGGTGATGTTCAATTTCCTTCATTTTTAAATCAACAGCATCGGAAATATTAAATAGGAAAAGGAATATCCTTTTTCTTGCCATAAAAATAGTCTTTGAATCTCCTTATGAATGGAAATAGCATTGAAATTGTGTTAATAGGATAGAATAATCCTTCAAAGAACACAAACAGAGTTCCTACACAAGTTATTTTGTATCCAGGAAACAAGATAAAGTTTCACACTATTTGCACAACCTTTTTTAGGATGTTTAATTACAGAAATTTGCATGAAAATCCTCTGTGTGAACAGAGAGATAAAACATTTATTATTCATCACTATAAACCACAAAACTGTGAAAAAACATTTAAAGACATTCCTCATAGTATTAACTAAGATAAAAAAATTCATATCAGTCACGTTTTTCAAGGCTTTTGAAAGAAAAAATTTTAGTGAAAAATTTCCTATATTAAAAAGAGGAAATCTTTTGGCTTCAGGATTCATCTTAAAAATGATGCATTGTAGTTTGGTCTTATAACCTTTTTAATTCAAGTATCTTCTCTTCTGAATTAACGATTTTTTCACTTAGAAATGTCACTTGAGGCACGATTCTCTCATAAATTCTTAAAAATGAAATATTTTCTGGTGAAAGTATGGAAGGAATAATTCAAAAGTATATCATAATTTAAAGTAGAAAACATCTGGAGCCACTGTATTGATCCCACCCCTAAAGGAAATATTACAATTGTTTCTGAACTGCATCCCCTTTGTAGAACAAATCTTTTCATGATCTAAGGAAATTTAAAAAAAGGATTGATTTTGGTTTACTTGGTTTGTGTTGTTAATCATTATTTTAGTTTTTCTAAGGATTGCAGAAATACAAATTAAAGGAATATCCTGGTTATTTTCCTTTGGTATTGTCCAGCTAGGACTATACTGAATGCTTTGTTTGGTGTTTGAGGGCTGGAAAACTCACTAGGAATTCACATAGATAATTAGAGTTTTTTATGGACCAAATAAAAAAAGAAAAAAGAAAACAACACTAAAAAAATCATAAAGTAACAAACCAATGACACTCCTTGACTCTATTTTTCAATACATAGAAGTTTTGCAGTTTTCAGTAACAAAAAATATTGAACTGATGTCTTGAGAATTGAAAAGTATTAGACAAGATCATAATTATAGACAAAAATATCCAGACCATACTATGGCAAAAATTGCAACATTGCTGAAAATTTCCGTGGTTGAATATTTTTACCAAAGTTGGGGAGGATATGTTGTGTAATGTGAACTTAAAACCAGAATGAAAATTTTTTTATCTAGCATAGTTCACACCCCATACAGACACCCACACAGTTGTTCATCGTCTAATGAAGGAGTATTTGTCCCGACAGAATTTAAACCCATTTATATGTATACTCATGGAGCAAGAAACTTCATCACGAGCATAGAATGTACGAGAATGTACATAAATATAAAAGATAGGTATATATATATATTCATGTACATTTTCACAAAACAAAAATTTATTAAAACGTAGAGAATAATAAAATAGAGGGGGAAATGATAAGTACAGTATTCAACTGAAGGATTAAAGTAAGCAGTTTCAGTTTTTCGCAATCCGTAGAAAATCAAAGTGGCTTGTTTGATTATTTGAACAGGAAAAAAAATTAAAAATCGCAAAGATTAATTTCACCAAATTTTTTCCCCATTATATCTTGGGAATAAAATATTGGGTATTGCGTTAAGAATATTAGATTATCAAAAATAAAAATTTGCGGTGTTCTAATACTCACATAGAAAATATATATCATCCAACTCAGATGCCCTTGCTTCTTCTGATTTTCCAACTTTGTGTTTTCGTATATAAGGAGGAGGATTTTGAGAAGAATTTGCTTCTAGACGCGTGTCCGCTTGTGGAGACGATAACACCTTTCCTGGAAATTTTTCACTTTCTTTCTTCTCTGCCTTCGAGAGAAAATTATCCAACTTCTTTTCGTCTTCGATTTTCTTGTTTTTACTCCTGCTTGCTTCGATTTTTTCCTTTCTTTTAATAGGAGGGATATTTCCGCTATTTCCTTTTTTGCGAATTTTCTTCGAATCCGAATTCTCGGCGGCTTTAACTTTTCCAATTACGGTGGTTAATTTGGAAGATTTTCCGTTCGATTTTGATAATTTTTCGGCATTTTTAGCCGCTACATTTGTCCCTAAATCATGGTTTTTATTATTTGATTCGTTTTCTTCCTCGTCTACTCCAGTTGCTGGAGCAGATGAAGGTATAAAATCACTTGAAGAAGTAGGGGAGAACAGCAACGTCCGTAATCTTTCATCCTCTGTCGGTCCTTCGGTTGGAATATTTTGAGTCGTTCGATCAATCAAGTTCTCCACATCACTACCATCAGTTCCTGCTAAATCATCCTTCCAAACTTCATCATTCGGGTACGCTTCGACCGCTAAAAGAATAAAAAAACATGAAAATAAGTTCACAATTGTACTAGTATTAGAATTTCAAGGACGACCATCAACGCATGTTATGATAAAAATCAGACTCAAGTTAATTGTGAATTCTGCTCAAATATAAACAAACTACTGCCTATTTTTTACCTAAATCCCTTTAAAAGATACCCAAAAGAATTCTAAAGAATACCTTTAAATTTTATCATAGAAGAAACAAAGAAAAAAAGCCCGAAGTTGTTGTGTTAAAATTCATTCACGACACATATTCAAGTGAAACTAGCGATGCGAAACAACAAGGCAAACGAGAAAGAAAATACGCTCAAGAAACTATATTTTTTCCATTTCCCTTTTAAAAAACCTTTTATGTAATCTATTCCAGCGAACCGTAAATCGACATTTGAACTCCTAAGGACGCACAAGTTCGTTATTAATCAAGAACAGAAAAGATGAAGAGGTCAACGACAGCTTAGTATTCGCGTCGCTTTAAATAATAATATGCAAAAAATCTAAAATTTTCGAGTCGTCCAAGCAAAACGCGGAAAAAGTTGACATTTTAAACATTTTTTCGCGTAGTGGCGTAGCAGTTTAAGCCCTCAAATCGTTCCGTGGTTATCGTAGGATAGATTAAAAACATAAAACTTGAGCAGAAAAGCCTTGGTAATAAATAATGTAGAAGTAAACATAACCGCTTTTTCGGGTTATGGTCGAACTGGGATCGCTATCTCTGCGAGCAATCGCTAAAATTGTATCACGGCGCTCGCTATTTAACAGTCCCAGCACACCTTCAAATGGTTCAAAAAATAAAGAATACTTATCCTTCTTACCTAAACATTTATCTCCAACTTGGACAAATCCTTGGAAGCATTCTCCACACTCGCTTGATCCTAATTCACATGTTTCGCGGTTGGAAGAGAAACAGGCCTCTTCTGGACAACTACCTGCAAAAGTTTTGGTCGTCAAAACACCCGTTAATAAACCCACCAGAAAATCATTCCTGGGCTTAAAGGCACAACCATACTTACCTTCGACAATACACAACCCTGTGGATAGAATACAGTGTAAAAGGAATAAGAAAAAAGATGAATTCATCGCCGTTCGTTCAAGCCCACCATCTTCTCAATCAAAGTTCGTGAGGACCTTCGCGGGCCAACGCACCGAGTTTTTATATCAGGCAATGCATCTTGGGATATGTTGACCCATATTTGGGCAGATATTTGCATAAATTAAGCCGATAGGTTCTCAAGTAAACAAACTTTATTCTGAATTTCGTTTTAAAATTCATCCAAATAGGCTATCTTAAATGTGTAGGAAACTCTATTTCAACTACTTTAGTGTTAAGGATTTTTCATGTTACTAAATAGTTGTAGTTAAGATTGAATGAATTTTTCTAGTTCCCGGCAAAATTTGCATATATCAACTCAAAGGGTGCCGAAGTTTAGAGATCTTTCTCGTTTATTCCGTAAATTCGATGAAATTGTATGAAAATGAGAATTAAATGTTTTTAAGAGCATATGAAGCTTTCAAGGGCAAAGTGTTTTTAGTGAAAACATGAATTTTTAATTTCAAAAAGTGGAATTTTTCTCCTCTTGAGCAATGTCAAAATTTGAAGGATGATTTTTCCTTTTAAAAAGACTACGAAATGTTTATTAATATCCTGTGCATAATTTCTTTTTGAAATGTTCCAGTCTATTTAGCGCGATAATTAAAGGTATTTTTGATTGTGTATATGGTTCAAAGAAGAAAGATAAAGAAGGCTTTGCTGACGTCAAGGAAAACCGCGAGTTTTACGTGTCGAACAACAGCAATGAGTGTATGCCCAAAGAACTCGTCTTTACCCAGTCTTATCGTCCTTAAAAACCACACAAACAACAAGAAAATTATGCATGGTAAAAGATAGGAGAGTAAAAATTGGATTTTTTGGAGGTCGGAACTAGAGCATGTCAAATTTAAAGAACCCTAGGCGTTACTAAGGCAACTGTCTTGGTTAAATTGGAGTTAAGTTCAGCGAAGCAACTTCATAAAGTCAGTTAAGATCATTTGGAATTCATCAAATAGATTAATAATCTATAATTTACTTGTGGTACTAACGAAATTTTTAACGGTAAGGCTTTTTTTTTTAATGTTTTTTTTTTTTTTTTTTTTTTTCCCCCTGATTCAGAGATTTTAATATTGAAGCTAAAAGGTATTAATTTTAACCTGTACTTCGTGGAGGCCAATATACTCATCAATAATCGCCTACACCTCTACAATCTTAAAATAAATTATACCAGGTTTATTTTCGTATATGTTTATCAATCATAGTGATCAAAATTCTCCTCGGAATTAACTTTACAGCAGGTGTTTCGCTTGATTTGGATATTTTTAGTAGGTTTTTGAACGAGATCAACTACATAATGATATTATATACAACCTCGTCATTAATGACATCCGATACATCTGATGTGCATACATACAATCAGCCCTAACTTGCCAATTGCAAGCAGCCGTTGTATGCTGTCGATACGGATAGGTTACTGATTGAAAAATATCATGTAGAAATAGATTATTGAAAGCAATTATGGTAGTGCATGAGATTGAACAGCCGGTCCCATGATAAGATGTTCAATGTCGCAATTGCCTCAAGCTTACTGATAATCGTTAAAAATAATTTATAATACCTGCGTGCATTGTTGTGCATTTTACTGCACTCTCTGCAATTATTGCACGCAGAATGACGCCAGAGGACACGTATAGTTCTAGCTGTTATTGCTAATGCCTCTTGCATGCTACTCATGGGGTAAAGAGAGTTATACTGGATGCGCATATAGAGTAGTTTTCGTATATGAATGGGTGACGTACGGTGCTGACGGAAGATACACAGTACGACATGCCGTAAACTGCATTGAAATGGCTTCCCATAAGAATGGTTATCGTATAAATGTGCGTCACGTACATGGTACGACATTCGTATGGCTTCCCATAAAACTAAACTTATCAATAGTTTTGATGCGGGGGGGGGGGGGGGGGGGGGAGGGAATGTACACGGTACTGACTTACAGTACGCACAAGTTCAGTACGACATGCTGTAACATTAGAATGGCTTCCAATAACAATGGTTGTAGTATGGGGGAACTGACTTACACGCAGAAAAACATGCCGCATAGCAATATGCTCACATTCAGTCATAGGCGTGCAAACTCGAAGTCGTACCGTACTCTTTCCTAATAAGGACTTGCTTAAGTACCTTTCCGTTGACGTAAGTACGGATTGTGATTAAATAAAAAAACAATGAAAAAAGCCATTTTAATTTGACTGTTAGAGCGTTTTCACATGACAGCACAGCCGCCATATTGGAGTACCGTTGACAATAACTGTCATTAGTTTCTTTTGTTAGGTACACCAATATGGCTGCCATCACTTATCAGTTAATTAACTCTCTAGGGGCCGAGTGAAAACGCTCTATAGGAAAACGGCAACCGAGCATTGAGGTGGCTTTCCATGATTGAGACTAAGTTGTGACGTATTTCCATGCCCAACCGCTCACAAAAACCGCTAATAAAAACCCCAAAAATGTTTCTAGATATTTTAACCTTCAACTAAGACTATTAAAACTTTAAAGGACCAATCCTATCATAAAGAAAACTAAGTAGGAATGATTTTTATAGAACTGCTTTCGTTTTGGACCCGGAAGTCGTTTTTCCATGACGTCTTACTAAGAGAGATAAGAAAAATATATATATACGCTTCGTACATTCCATTCGCAATCAAAAATTGTACCATTCATAGGCTACGTCGGAAAAGCTGTTCTGCTGCGCAATATACCCTTTCATTTTTGGAGTAATGTTTCCCATTTGGGCCACATGTAATTTCCTTGAGTATGATTTCAACCTTTGTGTTCTGGAACTCTTTTCCCACAAGATTTAAAGTTGGAACCTACGGTGGCCAAATAGGAACATGCAGCAAGTTAAACGAGCTGTTGCCCTTAGTTTGCCGATTGGGACCGGGGCCTAAAATTCGTTTTTGTTGAAAAATCTTTAAAAATTAATTCATTCGATAGAATTCGGTTTTCCTGATCGAGATTGCTAAGCTTACCTAAATGTTAATACTGAATAAGAGCAAAAAGGAATTAGATAGTTACTCTTTCCTTTAAAAAAATGTCAAATTGATACGATATTTGGATACGATGGGATTCGACCCAATGATAGAATTAAAAAAAATCGACTCCACTTTGCCATACCCCCGAGACATCCGCAGAGCTGAGGCGGCGTATGGACTTCGGACCTGACGGCAATTAAATCCTTCTGCCCTTGGGTGTACGAATTACGCAAGAAAATGTTCTAGCCGGAGCATCAGGGGAGAGACCAGCCGGCCCCAGACCATATCGGCTAATCCCTTGCATCTCTGCCACGCACGGAATCGGTTGAAAAACTCTGTTTAAAAAGTCTAGTCTATTTGGTGCATTGCTTTCACGGCTATTGTTATGCTGATTCACCTGGAACCGTGGTCTAATGGGAAAAAGCTTGGTCTTTAGGAAAATGAGTCAAGTCCGATTGAGCGAAGTTAGTACCTGGATGGGTGACCTGAAACTTTTACTTAACTTTTTTGAGTTTTTTTTTTTTTTTTCGTTTTAACTATCAACTTGAATAGAACTTTCAATTTAAGTTTTTGCACGCATTTCGTCATAGCTTTTTTTATGTTTTTCAGTTATGGGTATTCTCTTTGCAAGACTCCCCCCCTTCCCATTTAATCTCGCCTGGCTAGCCAAGAAGAGTTCCTCTATGACGTAAACGCATTTACAAACTGTAGGAATATAGCGCATTGTATATGTAACTACTTTTGTATAGCTGACAGATGTTTTGCAACAGCATCTCCAAATTCACCGTAAGCTAAGTTTAGAATAAGAAACATACTAGAGTACTTAAGGCATCCGGCATTTTATAATTTCTAATTTGGACACATTCTAAAGCCTTTAAGAACTTCTCGAAGGATGGACCTAAGAAATTACAGCACTGCGCGAATTTTAATTGATACTTAGGGGAAATATAATGCGCCTGTTTGGAAAATTGGCGGGAAAATGAAGACGCGGCGCGTCATTCAAGTTTTCAATACGATTTTCGGTCAACTGGTTCATAGAATTTTAATCGCGTGGAAACTGCCTTCGCCTGTCAATAGTACAAGTGCATCCTTATAGAAGAAAACAAACTCAATTCTTGGGACATTTGGTAATTTAAAAGAAAATTTTGTCATACGCACATATATGTCGCTAGTATGTCTAAACATTTCGAAAGGTTTGTATGGTGACGTCTGTCCGTCTGTGTACTCAAAAAAACGTCCAAATATTGACGTGGATAGTTTGTTCAGTGGCCAAACGGCAGAATATTAAGAAAGCTGGGGGAAAAATTTATCGGGTTAAAAAAATGTCAAAGATTATGCCAAAAATCGGCTTACACATACAAGACGCCCACGCGCAAGACTAACGACTAATAGACAGAGCAAAATGAAATGAAATGCCAAATGAAGCACAACACGAATAAGAAATTTTCAAAGAGGAAAGGAGTAATAGAATTAAAGCAAATGAGACGCCAACACGCAAAACCATAAACGACTAAAAAAGAAAGTAAAATGAAATGAAATGAAATGAAAAGTAAAATTGAAAACTAATAAAGGTGAATTGTTAGTGAAAGAGAATCACAGCAATTGGATTATAGCAACAAGACACCAAGGGACACTATAAGACTTACAACTGTTGAGAAGTGGAATAAAGGGAAATCAAATGAAACAGAGAAAAGTAGAAAATTAGTAGGAGTTGTAAGAGAAAATTATAGCGCGCAAAAAATGGAAATAAGGCCAACAGGACATCTACGCGAGTTACTACTTGTAGTATACTTGTAGCATGGAATTAAAGGAAAAGTTAAATGACATGAATAGAAATGCCACGAAAAAATGGGAACCCATAACATGGGAAAAAAACAAAGGGAGTAATAAAATTAGAAATTTAATCGAATGGTAGTAGATTTAAAATGTAAAAAATATGAATGAATAAAGCTAAGCATTCGAGTAGAAATCGTTTTAGGTTTTAGTTATTTTTTTGGTATCAATGAAATATGAAGGATTAGTAGAAGACCAAAAAATGAAAATTTGTTCTGCGCCGAAATTGACAATCATCAAACCATGAATAGGGTAAAAGACATTTCTTCAATCCCGCCTCAACGCGTGGGCGACCCAGAAAATGCTTAAGATTGCATTGAAAAATCAATCCATGGCGTTGGACTACGAGGAAGCCTTTCACTAGAGTACCAACACTTAATCTAACTCTGTATGCTTCGTGTTTTAATATCAGCAGGCCAATTTTTCTTGTCGCTTCGATCAACTACTTTAATTCTTACTAGAAGATCGCGCGTAGTACAAATCAATGGCTTGCTGTGTTTGTGAGAGGCAGGTGTTTGAAGGATGGATTAAACGAGATAGGCCTAATTTAGAAAGGATTTCTTAGAAGTATTGAATACCACTGTAAATTTTGAACGAAGGGTGTGTTACAACGTTGAAAAGGAAGCAAAAATGAAATAAAAATTTTCGTTGTAATAAAAAAAAAAAAAAAAAAAATTGAAAGGAAGAATTAGAGGTTACAGGTAAAATATGTTGGTTTTGCCTGATTTTGGGTTTTAAACGACTCTCGTTATAATTTACCGTGACCACTCGAGCTGCAATTTTTATTTGCGAGATGTTAGTTAACAATAAGAAACTACAAAGAGAATTCTCGTAGTGTTGGTATGAGAATTCAGCATTCAAAATAGATTGAGATAGCTTTATATCGTAGCAAAAAATATTTTTGAAAAAGCTGTATTTTCCCCAAGAGGATGTCTGTGGTAAATCTACGAAAAGAAAACGAAAGAAATAATTTTCCCGACCGTTAAATAACAACATGATCATTAAGAAGATGATAAATGAGTATGACGCAAACAAACCAACTAACAATCACTATCACCACAATGACAAATATATGTGTAAGTAATCAATAATAGTTCACCATGGTGATAATGACGTCAACATTTGTCTTCTTGTTAAGTCCAAGAAAAGGTTTATTTGTACTGAGTCAGTAAGCTGATTATTCTGACAGCTATGTACAGAATCCTTTCAAGACGAGTAATAATATTTCATTGATATTTTAGGCACAATGGACGAGGAAGCTTGTCGACTAATTTCAAGGGTATTCTCATTTTAAATCACGCAAAGAGACACGAAATTTCACCAGCCTTTTCTCGCGGACTGCACCTTTTAATTGAGTGAAATCGTCATTTTAGCTTAATAATAATAATAATAATAGTTTATTTATCCACATAACGCCTAGGAGCATTTCACATACTCGTTTAAAATGCGCACGTGCACTAATCTATTAAGAAATAACCTAAATTAAAGTGATATAAAATATAAAATATATATGTATATATGCAATAAATATAAAATATGAAATGATAAATATCTATTTACAATGGGAAGTTAATAAAGGAAATAAGAAAAAATATATATATATATCCAAGATATGATAAATAAAAATTTATCTAACGATATATAAAAGGTATGAAGTCTAATTTACGTATGATATTCTTAAAGCTATTTACGTTAACAGCATTTCTCGCATTAGATGGTAAATTGTTCCAAAGATGACTAGCTATGGATACAAAAGAATTAAGACGCCATTTACTGT